ATTGTAGTCCAGCCAGTTGCTGCCTTCTGTGTGTAGGAGTGGCCTCTTCCCGCATTCCGCTGCTGGCCGTTCACGTTAGCCCTGCAATGACAGTCCGTGGTGTGCTTTTCTCAGTTTGAGATCTGTGCACTCTCTAGGAGGGCCTGTAAATCACACTGTGACACGGTGTCAACGCTTCTCATCAGCACATGACATAATCTGGTGGCTAATGGCCAGTGGGCCCCTCTTGCATAGTTATTAGAGTGGTAGAAGTAATGTTGTCTTCCCATTTGAGCTGGTCATTCTAGACAATAGACCCCCCAAAGCAGAAATACAAATTTCACTGACTAAATAAAACTCTGGCTGCTTCTTTTTTCTAGGCCTTTCCTCCCCTCCTTTCCCCTTTTTCTCATATATAAGTTGTGCCAGGTATCAGACCTGCTAGGCAAGCAGTCTACCATTGAGCTATATATCTAGCTCTGAGGATTGTTTCTTTTGTGTGCTGAGTATACGTGTGTGGGTGCGTGCACATATGTGCATATGGAAGCTAGATAAGGGTAAGCTGGTTGGCTAGCAAGCCCCAGGGCTCCCCCTGTCTCCGCCCTTTTTACTGGGCTATCAAGCTTGTACCACCACACCCAGCTTTTCTAAGTGGGTTCTGGGGATCAAACTCAGGTCCTCGAGTTTGCATAGCAGGCACTTGGTGATTTTGCATCTTCCAGTTCAGCTATTGTTTTCTATTATAACACATTGTGGGCACTGGGAAGAAGAACCAAGAGAAAATGGAGGAACTACGTGCCAAGCTCAGGGACATAAAATCTTACCTTGGCCATGGCCATTTATCCAGGAAAAAAAAAAAAAAAAAAAAACTGTAACTACCGGGAGGAAGGAGAGGAGGGTGGAGCTAGGAGGAGAGGACAGATAGCTTCCTTTCCCCTGAGAGTAAGGAGCAGCTCTGAAGGCTTTCCCAAGAGAGAGTTGAAATCCTTTGGTGAAAATACATTAGCAAATATGTTTACATATATAAACCCTCCTAGAAGAAAGGTGTGTGTGTGTGTGTGTGTGTGTGTGTGTGTGTGTGTGTGTGTGTGTAAGGAATATGAAACAGTAGCAGAAGGCTGTCTCCTTACTCCTAATGGGATTTTGTAACAGCATGTGCAAGTTTGTTTCAGAAGTCAAAAATGAACAGATGTTGGTATAAATTACCTCTGTGTCTGATGTCTTGCAAATTAAAAGCGCGGTTGGCATCACTAAACAATTTCACTGGGTTTGGGGGGGCGTGCAGTATGCGGGTGGTGATTACAGTAGAAGGTTGGGTAAAAATCTGCACACTGCAACAGATCAAGAGAGCAAGGATGAAGAAATGGGGAATAAAATAAGGGCTGTATGAATTAATCAGAAATGTTAACATTCCTGATGACAAGTGAACAGGAGGGGCACTTGCTCCGGAGCAGCCCCTGACCCGTAGCAATTTCCCTGTGCACAAGAAGGGGTTGGTGCTTAGGATCTGATTTATAGGACACAGCCCTCTTGTAGGGAGCGGCTGTGTCATGCATTCGTATATCTCCTATATGGGACTGGCAAGAAGGGGAACTTTCTCCCCTCCCATGTAGAAGATGATGTCTTTTGAATTACTTCTACGTTTATGGTGGTTTCCTGCAACTCTGTATACTTGGATTAGGTTGAAGGGGAGGGATGATTGAGTGGAAAGGGAGTTGTTAAAAAAAAAAAAAAAAGGATTGGTTAAATTCAAGGAAAATTTGCTACTAAGAGACTTCAGAATCTCTGCTAATTTTTCTTTTTAGACTCTTGAGTCCTCAAATATTTGAGTCTTTAAAATTCTATAAGTCTTAACATATCCAGGTCATTCTTTCACTTTGGGTTGGGACAACAGTAAGAGACAAAAAAGATGGCTTGGTGGTTAAGAACATTTTTCTGCTCTTACACTGGATCTAGTTTCGGTTCCCAGCACCCACATGGCAGCTGGCAACCATTTATAACACCAGCTCAAGGAAATTTGACTCCCTCTTCTGTCTTCAGGTGCTAAACATGCATACACACAAGCAAAAAACACACACAAAAAGACATCCCTATTTTACGGAACAGGAATTGGAAGGTTTGAAATCAGGATATGTTAGGGTTCTGTGTTACCTATTTCTGGTTTCCACACTGGCCTCCAGCCACACTGTAGCCTGATGCTGTTTGGGTTAAAAGTTCTTATACTTTCCTCTCAAGAGTAGGCAGTTAACCCCTGTAGCCACTCTACCCCAAAGTGTAAGTACATTTGTAAAGATTGGGTTAAGAGAGATTCCAATCAGTGGAGGTTTCTGGTCTCCCTCATCATCATTGATCTCTTCGTTCACTCAGAAAATGCGGGAGTAACAAAACTCTAACAAACGATTGGGTTAGCGATCGCCACTACATTGACAGTAGCCAAGAGAAGGTGTAGAGGTGGGCTCTGCTTGCCCCCACTGTACACAGGAAGAAGGTGCAGCTTAGAGACTGTCCAGCCCGGGGCTTACCCAGCTACTACATACTTGAGCTAGAAATGAGTTCATTCTTTGTTCTCTTTGATTTTTTACCCCCATGTAGTCTCCCTGGTCTCTCACTCACTCTGTAGCTAAGTACAGCCTTGGAGTTCTGGCCCTCCTGCCTCTATCTCCTGAGTGCTGGGATTTCAGACATGCACCCCATGCTCAGTTTATGTATCACTAGGCAAACAGCCCCAAATCCCAAATTCTCTGTAAGACATCTTTGCTGTCTCTTCTTGGCTAAGTAGTTGATTGAATTTCCTCTAGAGTAGGTAGTCCTTGACCTCTGATCTCCATAATTTATAATTTGGCATTACTTCCTTCAAATGGCTCAGCCAGTAAGAGTACTTGCTGCCAAGCCTACCATCTAAATTCAGTCCCTTAAACCCAGGATAGAAAGAGACAACTAAACCCACAATCTGTCCTCTGACTTCTATATAGGTGCTGTGACATGTGTGCATCTGTGCGCACTCACACAGGCACTCGCGCACACAAGCAGACACACACACACACACAAAAAAAAAATAAATTAAATTTATTGTTGTTTACTGGGGATGGTAAGTGCCTTTAATCTCGGCTCTTGGGAGACAGATGCAAGTGAGTCAATGAGTTTGAGACCAGCCTACTCTATGTAGTTAGTTCTAGGCCAGCCAGGGCTATATAGAGACTTTGTCTCAAAAAGTAAAAATAAAAACCTATCACACAGAGAGAATAGTTCACTGAAAACCACTGTCTAGGCTTAACTGAGTTTAGAGGAAGCATTAGCGCTTGCTGTGTTCCTATTTATTCTTTTGTATATTATTGTTTATGTGACTAGCATTTATTCAGTAGGCCTGCCCTCAATTCTAAAAATTTAGTAGAAGAAACAGGTACAAAATGTGGGTAAACCCACCAAGGAAGGTTCAGATTTGGGCTTGGGCAGGATTGGCAGCACCTAGACACCTCACCCTGAACTTGCATGCCTAGCTGACTAGCTGACAGAATTTCCTCCCTGTGTTGGAGCTAGTGAACACTGGGAAGGATAGATGGATGATCCAAAAGCCTCCCTGTGATGACAGTGTACATATAAGGAACTAGGGTGCAGACAGGGATGCTGGGAGAGCTGTTTCTACAGCGCTGGTGATTGGACCTAGAGCCTGCTACACTCTAGGCAAGTACGCTACCAACTGAGCTACATCCCCGGGCCTTATTTTATTCTATGACTGAGTTTTATAAGTTATCCATCCCCAGCCAAGATTCCAGGCCTTTACCACCGGGCCTGGCAAACAAGTGGCTGTAAGTTTTGGTTGATGGAGTGGAGGATCTGTCTCATCATTTACTCTGTCCTAGATAAAGGCAACAAGAAGATGAAGCAAACATCCCTTTCATTACTGCAGGCACCTCCCTAGCCAAAAGGAACATGTTCTTGTGAGGCAGTGGGACACCACCTGTTCTGTGTCACTGCATAGTTTTGGAAGACTTCTGGTTTCCCAGGCTAGCCATCAGAGACTTTCAGAACTGTTAAATCCATTTAAGAGATCTAAAAAAGTGCTTTGTGGACTAAAGATGGGGCTGCAGAGGCGTGGGGGTGACATTGAACATGCTTATTGAAAATTTGCAATGGGGGACTTCTAGAGTGGTCAATTTTAATTGGGAAACATTCTAGTTTTACTTTGGCACCATCCTTTTATACAGGAAAGTAGCTGAATAAAGCTAGTGGTAACTAGGTTTCAGAGATTGATGGTGCTGAAAGTCAGAGAAAGACACATAAACCTTGCCTGGCTATATTAAATATCTATGGACTGACAATGCCAAGAGAGAGAAGACCAAAGCTCTATAAACCCTGCTTTATTACTCCATCCCCAGATGAACTGCACTGAGGGAATATAAACCCTGGTATATTACAGCACACAGGGCCTCCCACTGCTCAGAGGTGGGGTACATGATCACTGGTTTTGATTTGAGTTTATAAATGTGCAGAGACCAACAGCCCAGACAAGATTCTAATCTTGGCTGGATTTTAGCCTCCCAGAACAAACTCCAAAAGATAGTGAACATGCATGCGCATTAGAGTTGAGAGACAGAGAAACAGAGACTTGCTGGGAAATCCTGGTGATTTTTTTGTAAGGATAGCTGATAATCTCCCCTTGACCCCCCCATCTCCATTATTTTACCTTATACAGTTGCCAACTTCAGATTTACTGTTCAGTTTTTATTGTCAGTGGTAGTTTGTTTTCCTCTTTAAAACACTAGTGATGATTAAATTTGTCAGGGTAGCAGTTTGGTATATAGTTTATTTAACTATATACCAATTAATTTAATTACCAATATGCCTTCTATATTAACTTGTAAGTAAGTACAGGTGCACAAGACAAGGGTGTGGAAATCAGACAATAACTCTGGAGAAGTTAGGGCTCTTGTTCCAGTCTGTGTTTTTAACTTAAATCTTCCTATGTTCCCTTTTTTCCATTCTACATTTTCATTGACATTTTATTTACTATGTGATTTCAGCCAGAGAGATGACAAGGGGAAAATTCCTGAACATCCTAGAGAAGCCCAAGAAGTAGCAGCTGCTCGTGCATGGGTGTCCTGAAGACCATAACCAAGTTCCCTTTCCAGTGTAGCTCTGATGATACACACCACATGCTTGAGAAAGACTGGAGGCTGAACTTCCTTCTCCCCTGCTCCTGGCACTCTGTACCTCTAGGACATTTGGCAGCCAGAGAAGAATCTGTTCTACCCAAGGATCATTGCCATTCACCCAGTCGGCTTTGTAGCTGTGGATATTGGTAACATAGAGGTCTATAATTCTGGAAGGTCCTTTCCAAAAGTGATGCAGGAGTCCTGGGATCTTATAATGACTCTGATTCTGTAATGGCAAAGTCAGTATGACGTGGATTACCGGGTTCTGTTGAGTTGTACTTGATCTCTTAAGAAGCACTCACCATGAGGACATCAAAGACCAACTGCCTTCTGGACCAGACCTGGGAACGGTCTCAGACCTGACCGAGTCTATGACGTCCACTCAGAAGGAAACTCCTGGGAATGTATGCCTGCTTTTGAAGTCTAACCCTCCAGTGACAGTCTCGCCCTAGCACTGCACGTTTCCCACCTCCCAGGCCCACCTTGCAGGTTTAATCCCAGACCAGTGGAGCGCTTGTGGTGACTGTCTCCTGGGTTATATAGAGTGAAAGGCTCGTGCTTGCCACCCTGAGTTCTAGACCTCCAGACTAGCATGAAGATAACAGAAGCAACTCCAGTTAGGCTGTTAACATTTGTAAGTGGAAAAGTAAGTGAGGCCTGGTAGTAGGAGGACGAGGTTGTGAGAGTCCCCATTTGACTGAAAACAAGAAGCTCTCACTGACTTAGTGTGTGCAATTGGATGGCAACAATGCTCTGCCCCCTTTTTCCTCCTCGGCCACGTATCAGATACTTCGCTTATATGATAAAAACACACCCGTATGATAGCATTCTGGCTTAAATACAGCTCTCACAGATTTCTTTGCTAGTTGTATGTGTCTGCCAAAATCTGAAAACCTTGCCCATGGGTAAGATGGATTAGACCTACTCTTTCACATTTTGAAAAGCACAGAAAGTTCCCTCAATATTATAGGAAGAAACGCTCTGTGGCCATCATCCAGTGGGAGTTTGGACACGGGAGAATCTGTGGCCAAGTCTGGGGCCGTGTATCTGTTAGGGCCCAGTAAGTACTCTTGAGGTTCATAGCAGGCTCCTTGACCATTCTTGACATTTGTGCCTAATGCTAGAATTGATGTTGGATTTTCCCCTTCATTAGTGCTATTTGATCAACACAGTTTTACTTTTTGAAAGGAAAAAGCAATGAAATGTGTACCACAGAAGATAAGTATGAGAAGAGAAGCTTCTGCTGGAGTACTCCCTAGAAGGGCCAGTTGATTTTAAGCCTAAGTCTGTGATTGACTTTTTATCTCACTAAATACGGTTAAAGTGGGTGTGTACGAGTGATCAGAAAATAATGCCTATGTCAAATTCTTTTCTTCACTCTGTTTTTGAGAGTTGATGACATGAGGCACTTTTCAGAGTTTGGGGCCATTGAGAAGAATGTGGAGAATACTGGGAAAGCACCCCCAAACCAACTTGTCTGCAATGGGAAGCCAGTAGTTGGTGTTTTTATCTGCTATGGCCTCCTCCCTCCTCTTTCTGTCATCCTATTCACCAGCACTTAAATTAATGTAAGTAGATGTTTTAGAATTGTGATATTTATTGTTTTTGTATTTGTCATCCTTAGAAATGTTAATGATGTATTTTTATATTGATAATATAAATTTATGTACAGTATGTATATGTATTTTAGAATGTTAGAGGACTATACTTTGTGTATAATGTGTCTTCATAATAAATATGTCCCTTGTATAGGAGGTAAAATTTTTCCCTTAAAGGGCCAAGCTGCATATTTAAAGCCTAGACTCATTAAAAGTACAACTCAGGTGACAAGTCTGCTGTCCCATCAGCCATCCTGCCCATTACTGCTAAATTCCCTATCTCAATAGGAACCTTTAGAAACCTTTGGTACCGCCTTGTATGTTGTCAAAGATCCGTCTCTCTCCTCCAGGCAGTGTAAAGTGACATCTATTGATCCTTCGGTTTGGGTTCTTTCTTCTCCCAGATAAAGTCTCTCGTCCAGTAGGAACTGTTCGTACTCTGAGCTTGCTGGCCCGTGCCATGGAGTGGGAGAAAGCCCCCATTAGTTTCTACGCACCAGACCTGTTCTTCCTGTAAGACCTTGCTGACCCGACTGGAGATGACCTTCCCCATCACTCCTTCAACGTGTAGATACGCTGTTCCTGTGACGCTGGTCACACCCAATGGCAGGATCACACCTACGTAATCTGAGTCCAGATCTTACTATCCTTTAATGTCACAGGCTCCCCAGGATTCGTGTCCAGTTCTTCCGTGTCTTCCTGGAAGTCGTCTTCATCTGCTTTAGTGTGGGTTCCTTTGATTGAGACCTAGACAGGAGAAGTGGGCCACTCGATTGTAGTGGGTTTGTCTTCACCAGAGCACGTCCTTCTAGAGAAAGCATTCCATTTTGTTGTTGTTGTTATTGTTCTTTTTTTTTTGTTGTTGTTGTTGTTGTTGTTTTCAAGACAGAGTTTCTCTGTGTAACAGCTACGGCTGTCCTGAAACTCACTCTGCACATCAGGCTGGCCTCAAACTCACAGAGATCCGCCTGCCTCTGCCACCTGAGTGCTGGGATTAAAGGTGTGCGCCGCCGCCGCCGCCGCCGCCCCCGCCCCCGCCCCCGCCCCCCATGGAGAAAGCATTCCATTTTCAGGAAACAACTTGATACACAACTCATACAGGATACTAACTTCGTTAATTACAAAGCATCCTTGTTAATTTTCTTTATCGTTTTATTTTAAGACATTTTCCATAATTTAAACATTTTGGACCTTCATTGTGTGTGTTTTCATGCACAAGTATGTGTGGAGGTCAAAGTCAACTTTTGGAAGTCAATTATCTCCTTTTACCATGGAGGTCCAGGGACTTGAACTCAGGACATCAAGCTTGGCAGTGAGTGTTTCTACCCACTGAGCCATCTCACTGGCCCATATAATCCATTTTTTTTTTTTTTTCATCATGTAGCAAGTGCTAGCAGTCCTGGAGTTTAACATGTATGCCAGGCTGTCCTCGAACTCACAAAGATCAGCTTGCCTCTGCCTCCTGAGGCCACCACATCTGGCCCATGTTATAATTTTAGGTAGACATTTGCTAACCGCTCCTTGGTGTTGGCCTTGGTATTGTAGCTCTTGTGGTTCACTCAAATCAGGACAGGGAAGATACAGCGGGTGCAATGACTCCACAGTTCAGAGCATCATTCGGAGTCCCCACAAGTGCCTTGCAGTGAAGTCTCTATCGCCCAGCTTAAGGCATTGCAGGAAAATGGACTGCAGGTTGGAAAGGAGGCAGGTTGGCCAAGGTCAAATAAGTGGTCAAATAAGGGGTCAAATAAGTGGTTTCTTAGCAGCTTAAACTTGGCCTATCTTTATCTTCAAGCATGAAGTCATGTTCTCTGTTTTATGTCTTCTCCATCCTTTGAGACATCCAAGACTACCCCAACCCAGCAGCCCACTGAATGGATGAGCAGATATCTCTCCAATTTCAGTTCGAGATCTGACTAGCCTGTAACTGGCTGCTCGAATCTATTTAGAAGCAATCTTTGCCATGCCACTTTGGAAGTGTGTTTCTGTGTCTGAAAAGGCCTTCAGCCTTCCCCACCTTTTGTCTGGCCCATTTTCTTTTAGACCAAGGACAGTTGGAAGCTTCAGGTGATACCAGGTGCAACTGTGAGGCCCCTGGTTAATTTGCACAAGAACACCCCAGTGCTCCATTAGCCAGGCCAAGCATTCGGAACTTCCCTCCTGGGGGCCTCTTCCTCCTAATGAGAGCAGGAGAAGGGCTCTTACAAAACATTGCCTCAGAATAATATTCTGCTTTGTCCCCACCAGTAACCAGGGCTGACAGGATCACTCTGTCCATTTCTCTTCTAATTAGCACAATTCCAGCATGGCTTGAACCAGCAAATAGAGAAAAGCGATCAAAAGCGATCGGACAACCGTACCGAATCACAAACACAGAGAGAGCCGTTCCCTGTGATTAGGTGAGACAACTCCTCAGTCCTTTCTCGGCTGGAGTTTGCTGCTAAGACTCTTGTTGTTTGGGTCCCAGCAGCACAAGTTACATGTCTCCCTGGGACACTAATAAGCCCCAAATTGTCTTCCGCTTCACACGACTCTAACCAGAGGACAGATGCAGGGAGGAGGAGGGATGGGGACAGAGTCTCCAAACAAAGCAACTCGTGAGAGGGTTTCCCAACCCCAGAAGGAACAGCTACCGGGCAGAGGAGAGCTGCACTGGGCACAGCCTGGGCTCCATCCCTTGAGCCAGAGTCTGAAGCACTTAGCGCCCTGACCTTTCAGGAAGCCCGCTCTGCTATCTGACCTTGCTGTGTTTATTCACCCTCTGTCCTCGCTCTTTTTCCCATGTGACTGCTCTAGTCTGGCTGTGATACTTTTCCTGGACTGTCACTGAGTTTCTTCCACCCATGTCAGGGAGGATTTACCTACGGCGTGTGTATAAATTCTGCTCCCAGAGAGCCCATGTCCTGCCAGGGGCACCGCTCCCCAGCCTGCTTGCCAGCGTTTCTAGCCCCTGTCACCTTCATGCACCTTCACGTCTCTGGCTCTTCCCCTGCCTACTAGACACAGGCTCTCTTGGATGATCACTTTAAAAAGCAGGAAAGGAGCCTGTTTGCCAAGGCAGGCCATCATGATTAGCTGCATTCTATGTGACTTGGGGGTTGGCTGGTTGATGGAGAGAAACCCAGCCCTGTGATTACAGCCCAGGTCAGAAGTATCTCGATGCAGTGGTAAACTTGACTGTCGCCTGGGACAAAGGGTGTGCGGAGAGTTTCTGTGGGAATCTGACGCCTCAGTTCTAAGCAGAATTGGTTCACAATTTTTCATCTTTACCAAAATGCTCAGATAAAACCAAAGGAGCCAAAACTCTCAGAGTGATTCTGTTTTCCTGTCTTCCCTGTGCAAGAGACAGTGGCAACAATACCTGACTCTAGTCAATAGCTTTTGGGAGATGTCGAAGTAAATCCAAATGTGTGGTGCCCCATGCATCTCTTTGGTAAGTAGAATGTGAAACAGTACATGGCAATAGCACTTAGGACTTCACTGGAGTGGGGGAGGTAGCCCAGCGTGTAAAGGTGCTTGCTGCCTGAAGAAGAGCTGAGTCTGAACCCCGGGGCCTACGTGATGGAAATGTTCTGGTAACTATCATCATCAGCACGTAGGCTCCGTAGCACGGTGCGTGAACTCTCTCGTCTCCCCCCCCCCCACCCTCTCTCTCTCAGTAAATGTAAAGATAAATAAAATTTGTTGCTAGTTGGTGGTGGCACACACCTTTAATCCCAGCACTCAGGAGGCAGAGGTATAAAGGATCTCAGTGAGTTCAAGGCCAGAAAAGTTTCAGAGCAGCCAGGGCTACACAGAGAAACTCTGGCTCAAAAAACAAACAAAAAAACAATAATAATTTCTTTTTAGCTGGGCAGGATCACAAGCTCAAGGGCAGTCAGCTGCCTAGCAAGACCACATCTCAAAAACAATGAAACAAAAACAAACAAAACAATCCCTTAAATTCCTAGAAAGATAGGGATGGGTTAGGCAAGTCACTACTCTCTCCTTAGACCCTTTCCCACTTCAAAGAAACAGCCTGATGGCATGGTCCAGCTCCTGCTCCAGCCAATACTAGGAGTGTGACTGGGTAGATTACTGGACCTCTATACCTTGTCTGCCAGTGATATGTGTCCAGTATTAGCCACTAACTCCTAGAGCAGTTGCAGCAATTAAGTGGGTCCTTGCAAGAAGTGAGAATCAGTGCAGGCCATGTGACTGTTGAAGGACTACTCAGTGGGGCTGTTAAAGATGGACTGGTCATCTTCAATTTTTTTTTTATTATTGACACTTTCAGGGAAAATATGGTAACCCTGGAGTAATTTAATGCAGAGTAGCATATCTGTCCTTCCCTCCAGCCTTCCACTTCCTGAAGTGCACTTGGTAAATTCAGTTGTTGACAGTGGCACAGGAGACCATTGGAGGCTGAAAAGCACTTAGAGGGAAGTGTGCTCCATGACCTTGAAAGGTGTCTGAGCCATGAGTGTCACAGCTCTTTGTCACTGATCTTCATCCTGAGTTTCTAGCATCAATGTTATCCCAGTCACTCCCCAGGAATGCATTCCCCTGCTTTATGCTGTCATGCCCTGGCCTTTGCCCCACACCCTTCCACATTCGTCCAGGTGTTTGCCAGGTTCCAGGTTGGTCAGGTTCTCATTCCCTTCCCAGGACTGAGCAGGGCCCACTAAGGCCTCAGCCTCCCCCCCCCCCCCCCACACACACACAGCTTCCTCTTCTACCCTTAGGGAGCAGCCTGGGGCCTGAGTAGCCTGAGGTCTCAGGTCAAGTGAGGCTGAAGGTCACATCCTGGGACCTTCCTGGATGCAGCCAAGCTCCTGGAGCCACCGTGGCCCCTGCCCTGAGCTCCACACAAAGGAACAGCAGGGAAGAATCAAGTTAGAAAAGTCAGTGACTTAAGGCAGAGTGGAGATGAAAAGCAACAGCTACCGTGAGCAGGGAGCCTTGGTCAGGACCACAGGCTTGTGGAGTCTAGAACCAGAAGTAATCCACAAATACAGGGCGCTCAGAAGCAAGCTCTCATTCATATTCATACTAACCCCACCCCTAATCTGTCACTGGTGCTTTGACTCCAACTTT